GGGGGGGTCCAGTCCCCACCTCCTTATCCTGGGTCCCTAGGCTCACCCTGAGGCACTGGCACAGTGTGCCTGGTTGTGGAAGGGGTTTCGGTCGCCTTCTCCGCGCCTCAGGTCCATGGTAGGCCCCAAGGCCCTGGTGCAGTGTGCCTGGTGGTAGGAGGTGGATCTGGTCCCCTTCTCCATGCCCTGGGTCCCAGGGCAGGCCCCGAGGTGCTGGCACATTGTGCCTGGTTGTGGGAGAGGGATCCGGTCCCCTTCTCCATGCCCCGGGTCCCAGCGCAGGCCCCGAGGCGCTAGTGTGGTGTGCCTGGTTGTGGGAGGGTGGGTCCAGTCCCAACTCCTTATCCTGGGTCCCTGGGTAGGCCTGAGGTGCTGGCATGGTAAGCCTGGTTGAGGGAGGGAGGTCCAGTCCCCTTCTCCATGCCCCAGTTCCCCTGGCAGGCCCCGAGGCGCTGGTGTGGTAAGCCTGGTGTGGGAGGGGGGTCCAGTCCCCTTCTACATTGCCTGAGTCCCCAGTTGGGACCTGAGGTGCTGGTGAGGTGTGCCTGGTTGTGGGGGGAGAGGTTTGGTCCCCTTCTCTGTGCCTTGTGGCCTTGGGTCCCCAGGTGGGCCCTGAGGTGCTGGCGTGGTGTGCCTGGTTGTGGGAAGGGGTTTCAGTCCCTGGCTGCTAGCCCTGGGTCCCCGGGTGAGCCCCCAAGCACTCGTGGTGTGCCTATATGTGGGAGTGGGGTCCGGTCCTTGGCTCCAATTCTTGGGTTCCCAGGTGGGGCCCTGAGGTGCTGATGGTATGAGTGGTTGTGGGCAGGGTCCTGCCCCTGACTCCATGCCTCATGTCCCCTGGTGGGCCCCAAGGCATTCATGGTGTGCCTGGGCCAGAACTAAGTTTTTGTCCTTTACTTACTACTAAAATGGGGGAACTTCCTGTGGGAACCATTACTTGAGCTCTGTGGTTGAGGTAAATTGCTACTTTGCTGCTGTTTCCCTAGGGAAGGCTTTTTGTGCAGCTCAGGGTTTAATGGTTGACCTTATAGATACTTCCGGCTCTCCAGAGACCTGGTGCACCTGGGTTGTGTAGAAACTTTGATCTGGGCCTGAGTTTTTTCATCAGACTGCACCCCATGCAATTCTGTATTCCCGACCAGTCTCCTCTGAGTGGTCCTGTGCTGATTGGGGGGCAGGTCGGCTGTCTTTGCTGTGTCCCAGTGTTCCCCTGGTGGGCCTGTCTCCCCCACTGCCTGTGCTCCCCACAGTTCCCACGGGACGGGCCCTGCGCCAGTCCCTTGTGATGACTCACTGGCCTCTGAGTGGCTCCCTTTTTTCAGCTGTTCTGGCTCCTCACTCCTGTGTGGGTCCACGGGAACCCTGTTAGTGGTCTTGCTGTCCTGGCGACCATCAAAGTCCTCTTCTCACCTTCCACCTCCAAGTAACTCCATCTAAAGGGCACAGCTGCGGCTTCTGCCTGCTCCATGTGCTACAGCATTAAAGAGACCGTGGCCCAAAACGCTCAGAGCAGTTTTTTCTTTCTCTCATCATAGTTTCTCCCACCTTCATGAACTCCGTAGGTCTCTCCTCCTCTTGTGGCCCAAAACGCTCAGAGCAGTTTTTTCTTTCTCTCATCGTGGCTTCTCCCCCTTCATGAACTCCGTAGGTCTCTCCTCCTGTTCCCCTGAGCTCCAGTGGCCCCAGCTTGGCTGATGTTACATTTTTATAGTTGTAAATTCGTTGATTTGTGGGAGAGAGTGATGCTGGGGACCGTCTATTCTACCATTTTGACCAGAAGTCCGGTATCTCCTTGTTTTAATTTGCACCTCCCCAATTGTTAGAAAGGTTGAGGATCTTTTTAAGTTTTTATTGGCCATTTGCATTTCCTCTAGTCAAATGCCTGTTCATATTCTTTGTCCATTTTTCTGTTGGGAAGTTTTATATAATGTAGATATCAATCTTCTTTTGGCTATATGCATGCAAATATTTCCCCCCAGTTTGTAACTTGTTTCAGCTTGCTTTCTTTTCTTTTCTTTTCTTTTTTTTTGGCAGTGGCCATAATGGGGATCTGAACCCTTCACCTCAGTTTTATAGCACCCTGCTCTAACCAACTGAGCTAACCTGCCAGCCCTCAGCCTGCTTTCTGCAAGGGTTCTGTGAAGTCCATTTAGCTAAGCAGTTTTCAAAGTAATATCAGAGGAGAGGTGGAAGTAGGGAGAGCACTAATGTGTCTGATTGTTCTACTTCTTTGGTTGATATCCCTACATGGGACCTGCCTGAGACTTGGGTCTGCTAGAATACTTCTTGCTGGGATGTGTTATTATTTAACTTAAGCTAAGTCCCAGGCATATGATCTTTATAACCTAGGATTCTGATATTCAGAGATTCTCACTAGCCTCATCCTGGTCCTGGCCTTGCTGATATTCTTTGGCCCCCCAGGCCCTGATCAGTGTATGCATGAAAGAGCATGAAGAATTCAGTTCTGTAATATTCTTACTTTTACCTTAGACTGGTTTCTACTCACCAGAGGATCTGAGTCCAGGGAACTTGGGGTGCTATCTTTGACTGTCCTGTCCTCAGGAGGTGAGGCAATGCTATGAGGGCCCACAGTGGGTGGGGGCAGGTGGTACAGCTTTGACTGGTCTTGTTGGGCTGATGGCCAGGGAAGAGTGTCCCGGACCCACTCCACTGGGTCCTCCCAGGCGGCTTTCTGTCCATGAACCTGGAGAGAAGGAGAAACATGATTACTGGGGTGGGGGGATGAGTCCACAGATTAGGGGTTTGTTCATGCAGTCTCTTGATAGTTCCCACAAAACATGATCCTTGGTAACACACTCCCTCAAGTGTAAAGCCTTGATGCTCTAATCCCTGTGGAATTTTCGTGAGTTTCCTAACAAGGGAAATAAGTTGTTGTAAACTCGTAAAATCACTTTGCAGAATAATTTAGCAGATTGTGTTAAAGCGTTCAAATTTTTAAAAATTTTAATTTCATTTATTTATTGTTTAAATTGACAAAAATTGTGTACATTTATGATGTACAACATGTTTTGAAATATGCATACATTGTAGAATGGCTAAATTGAGCCAATTAATGTATGCATTACCTCACACACTTAATTTCTTGTGTGATGAGAACAGTAAATATCTATTCTCTTAGTGATTTTCAAGTACACAATACATTGTTATTAACTATAGTTACCATGTTGTATAATATATCTCTTGAACTTATTCTTCCTGTCTAACTGAAATTTTGTATCCTTTGTCCAAGATCTTCTCAGCCCCTTCCTCTCTAGGCTCTGGTAACCACCAGTCTACTCTCTGCTTCTGTGAGTTCGACTTTTTTAGATTCCACATATATATGTTTTTCTGTGCCTGGTTTTCCTTAACATAATGTCCTCCAGGTTCATCCACATTTGTTGCAAATGACAGGATTTCTTTCCTTTTTTTTTTTTTTAGGGCTGAATGGTATTCCATTTTCTTTATCTATTCATCTGTTGATGGACACCTAGGTTGCAATAAAACTTAACATGCACAAATTTTATGACCCAACAATTTCACTTTTTTTTTTTTTAAAGATGACCGGTAAGGGGATCTTAACCCTTGACTTGGTGTTGTCAGCACCACGCTCACCCAGTGAGCTAACCGGCCATCCCTATGTGGGATCTGAACCCGGGGCCTTGGTGTTATCAGCACCGCACTCTCCCGAGTGAGCCACGGGCCGGCCCTACAATTTCACTTTTCAAGAAGGAAATTCTTCCACTTTAGTCATAACACATTTTTGTTTTTGAAAAAAAAATTTCTTTTTTGAAAACAGTTTTCTTTCATGAAAACAGATGTTATCTGTATGAAAATGCTTTTTTTTTTTTTATTTTAAAGATGACGTGTAAGGGGATCTTAACCCTTGGCTTGGTTTTGTCAGCGCCATGTTCACCCAGTGAGTGAACCGGCCATCCCTATATGGGATCCAAACCTGGGGCCTTGTTGTTATCAGCACCACACTCTCCTGAGTGAGCCACAGCCCGGGCCCTGAAAATGCTTTTAAGTTGGAAAACTATTAACAATAATGCAAAATTTCCTTAAAATGTCAAAATTTATAAATTTATAAATGGAATAATGACTTTTGGCATTGGTCTGATAGATAGCATATCCAGAAATTTACTATATCATCAGGAGATACCTACTCATAGCAAATTACTTTTTTTTTTTTTTTTTTG